CGATCTGTAGTGACCTTTGATCCATCTTAAGGTGAGCACATTGTTGATGGATACTTCGGCCAAAGCCTCGTGACATTCTAGTACTAACCCTGAGGAAATTTGTGGTCTGTTCAGAGTGAGTAGTGCTTGTCTGCTATCTGTATAGATGAGCATGTTCCTTCCAGTGATATTGTTTCTGTTTATTTCTTTTGCTGCTGATACTGAGAATACCCGTTTGCTCTGTTTGAATTACACTGGCACTATTGCATACAGCCCATTTTATGTTTAAGAATCTGGAGTATATTCCACATCCTGAGCCTTGTTTTGTTTTAGAACCGTCGGTGTAGATATGAATCGTACCTGCCACTTCCGGCTCTTCTATTTGTTCTATTATAACTTTATATGGCTTATGGAAGATATATCTCGGAAAGATGGAGTCCATGTTAGCTTAAAGCAGTGGGAGCATATCGAGCGCCTCCTGCCAAAAGCGACGTCTCGCCTCACCAGATCCTACATCAGATTCTATTCCAACCATGCGGAGGCGTGTCATTGTCGTCAGAGAAATCTCCTTGATGTAAATATCAAGTGGAGTGAGACTGAGAATGACTTCCATGGCCCTGGTCGGTGTTGATTTCATGGCTCCTATTATGTTGAGACATGCTGTTCTTTTAATTTGTTTTAGTTTATGGATAGCTGTTAATTTTTGGGTTTTCGGTACCCAGACAACTGCACCGTATGTTAGCATAGGTCTTAAGATAGCCGTGTAAATCCATGCGACGACTCTGGGGGAGAAACCTTAGGTGCGCCCCACGGTTCGGCGGCATTGTTTAACTCTATTTTCTAAATGCGAGTTCCATGTTAACTTGCTGTCAAATGTGAGACCTAGGTACTTCACCTCTGTTGCAAAGTTTAGTTTTGTGTTTAGAAGTTCTGGAGGTTTTAATTCCATTTTCATCCTTTTCCTTGTGAAAAGGACCATTTCTGTCTTCTTAGGATTGATAGACAGTGAATGGTCCTTGCACCACTGTTCGATAATTTTTAGAGTTACTTGTATTCGTTCGCAGAGGATGTTCTCAAAATTCACTGTTTGCAGAATGACCAGGTCATCTGCATATGCTATTGTGTAATGACTGTCATTATTTAGGCGGCTGATGAGGGTGTCGAGGACCCTATTCCATAGTAGAGGTGATAGCACCCCTCCTTGTGGACATCCCCTCGCAACCAAGCCTCTTATATTCACATCTTCTACACTTATGTTTACTGCTCGCTTTGAGAGCATGTTATGTATCCACCCACACTAACCATTTGTGGAACATTCCTGTTGGTTAGTGAGTGTATTATCTTTGGGAAAGTGGATTTATCAAAAGCTCTTTCTATGTCTATGAAAACATCCAAGGCGGACTCCTTATTGTCCAGGGATCTTTCTATCCGGCCAGCAACTAGATGAAGGGCTAAATCAGTAGATCTGTCTGGGGTGTATGCATGTTGGTTTGGGTGTAGGGGAAGGAGGGTGAAGATGACGCGGAGTCAAAGATGACGCATCTAATTATTTCTTAATTCAAACCATAGAGCGACCTAGTTGTCTGGCAGCGCAATCCATAATAATCTATTGAGTGTCTATATTAAATAGCAGCCTTCTCCTGCGCCGGTCAGTATGAGTTTGTAAGCGAAGTGTGTCTGACTCATTTATGTTATTAGGTGACTCTGATGTTACATTGAAAGGTAAGCCGTTAAGCTATAATATTTTAGTTCTAATTTCACATAGTGCTTTCGAGTGAGTAGTTTTCTATGACTTAAAGATGTTTTCATAATTATCTATTGATGATAAAAGATATTTATAATAATATTTGTATTATCGTGTCGTATTGGTTAAGATGACGCAGTGTGCGTCATGTTTCCCGTCTAACCTGCGCCATCTTCTCCGACAAGCATTTATATGGGACCTAAAATTATTTTATTTACAGATGCCGGTCAAATATAATAGAAAAACTCAAAGGGGAAATTATTCCTCAGAAAAAGTGAATACACGAAATAGTTGCAAATAGTCGAAAAATTCGAGAAGTGTCTAGATCGTTTGAAGTTCCTGAAGCTACTTTAAGGCGAAAATTGAAATTAAAAAATAAACAAATCCAATCGAAATCTCAGTCTTTAGGAAGAGCTGCCGTGTTTTCACTTATTCAGGAAAAAGAAATCGCCGATCATGTGATTATGCTGGCTAAATTATTTTTTGGCTTAATGCCTATAGAATTAAGAAAAATTGCGTTTAAGTATGCGGAAAAAAATAATATACCAAACACATTTAATGCCGAAAAACAAATGGCGGGTAAAGATTGGTTACATCGTTTTATGAGAAGAAACCCACAAATTTCATTACGTAAGGCAGAAGCTACTAGCATTAATAGAATAACTGCTTTCAACAAAAGTGAAGTCGAGCTTTTTTTTGCTAATTTGGGAAGAATGCATGAAAAACATAACTTTTTACCTGATCGAATATTCAACGTCGATGAAACTGGTATATCCACGGTTCCTAATGAACATCAAAAGAGACTTGGACCAAAAGGAATCAAACAATTTGGTATTGTAACTTCTTGGGAACGTGGTAAAAATACAACAGTTATTGTATGCATGAGTGCAACGGGCACTTTTATACCAGCGTTATTCGTATTTGCCAGAAAACGAATGAATCCACTATTAGGAAAAAATGGACCTACCGGTGCAATTTATACATGCTCTGAAAGTGGATGGAGCAACGAAAATATTTTTCTTATGTGGATTAAACATTTTCAGGCAAAAGTTTTATGCAGCCAAGAAAACCCAGTATTACTGGTGTTAGATAACCATAGTAGTCACATTTCTATTGAAATATATGAATTTTGTAAGAATATGGGAATAATTATGGTATCAATTCCGCCACACACATCTCACAGGCTACAGCCATTAGATATAACATTCTTTGGCCCATTTAAAAATGCTTTTAGCCAACAGTGTCATGTATTTTTAAAGTCAAAACTGTACAATTCCGAATTCGAAAATAAAGTAACTCCTTATGACCTTGCTGAAATTTTTAAACTAGCCTTTGAGAAAGTTGCGAATATAGAAAAAGGAGTTTCTGGATTTAAAACATGTGGAATATTCCCTATAGATTCTACCAAATTTACAGATTCTGACTTTGCTCCTGCAGAAAACTTCAATAAAACAACTGATCGACCATTATTGCCAATTCAACCAACAACAAATAGACGTTCTCCAGACATACATCAAGCATCAACAAGCAGACTATCTCCAAATACGCAGCAACCATCAACAAGCAGACAATATCCAGACATACATCAACCATCAACAAGCAGACAATCTCCAATTCATACAACACCACCAAAGGAGGTATTATCCAATATATCTAATTCCCCGATGAAAAAACATGTACCTATTCAGATAATTTCACCAATACCAGTCATCCCAGGAAAAAAGAGAAAAAATTTACGTCCTCAGCAACATTCTGAAATTTTGACTAGTACTCAATTTAAAGAAGTTTTGGAAGAAAAAGATAATAAAAAAAAAATAAAAATAAACAAAGCAAACGCAACCAAGAGAAATTTGACAAACTCGTCAAAAACTAAAGAAAATCAAAAGGACAAACCGAAGACAAAAGAAGACTCTAACGAAAACCAAAAAAAGAACTAAAAAGATTATTATAGAAAGCGAGAGTGATGAAGAGAGCTACGATGATAAAGAAATATGTGATGATGATGAACTAGATGATGTTAGTGGTGAGGGGGAAATATGCACAGTATGTTGTGACTTCGGCAAACATAATGAAGTATGGTTCCGATGTACACGTTGTGGACTTTGGTCCCACAAAGCATGTACAGGTGCTGACAGTCCAGATAACTATATTTGCGATTTTTGTCTTAGTTAAAGTCATGTTTTAATGTTTAATCGTATGTGTTCCTGTTTTTTTTGTATGTTTCATGTTTAACTGTATGTTTAATGTTCAATTATATGTTCAATGTTTGACTTTTATTATTTGCGTCATCTTATCCGCCACGGTGCGCCATCTTTTCCTGCATGGAGGAAAATATGGCGCAAATGCACTTTTTTTGTTTTTCCTTTAAAATGTATTAGGTTGGTCAGACAACAAAAATAACCGGACATTGACAGAAGCAATTGATTACTTTATATATGCATTGTATTTAAACTTCCATTTTTACCTTACAGCCTAAAATAATATAGTATTTTCTTAAGTGCGTCATCTTCGCCCCCTTTCCCCTAACGGTGTTGTTGTAATCACCGTATCCCTTATGTACCTTTCGCATAGCCTTTCCAATGTCTTCAAGGAAAACGATGTCAGACTAATTGGTCGGTATGTTTTTAGGACAGTGCAATCCATCCTTCCAGGTTTGGGTATAAATACCACTTTTACCTCTCTCCATTCCTTACTAAGAAGATTAAAAAAAATGATCTTATTATCTAGGACAAAAACATTACATTTTATAGATTGGTATCGAGTTGGAAAAATTAAAGGTCCAAATCGTTAATTAATTATATCTTCAAACACTATCAAAAGAATTTCATTGAATGTCCAATAGTTTTTGTGCCTTCTTCATAAACAAAAGGAAGTGCAAAGGACCTGTCACGGTTCACGGTCATCATAAATGTTTAGAATGGAGATTTGATATAATTCAAACGACAATATTTAAACAAAAAAATTAATAATATATATTTGAAATTATTATAAAAAATAACTATATCTGTGAAGACTACAGAATAGACCTAGGAGTCCTCATTTTCTATACCCTATTCTCCCATCTGAAGGCTAATGCCTGGTATCGAATTTGATAAAGCCAAAAAAAATCGCATCTCGACATACAAACCAAAATTTGAAATCAATCCATTACCAATTAGCCACTCAAGGGTGGCTTTCAAGTATACGACGTATAACCTGACAAGACTTTCGCTTCACACTGTATACGGCTGAGAGAGGGGCACAGGCATTCATTTCATTCACTCTATTTATTAGTTTCGTTGTGGTTTCGTTCTCCGTCTCAAGTCGGAATACGCGTCTCTCAACTCTCAACATCAACCTTTCAAGTCAAGCCTTCGGTTTTTAAGTATATTTTAGTTAGTAGCTAAACAAGTTTGTCCGATAGACTGATGTGCTGTACGGGAACAGTGTATCCACCTACCTTACCATAAGTGTTTTCTAATATCTTCATATTTCCCTTCAATATTGTTTTCTTAACAGTACACAAATGTGAACCGAAGAATTTTGTGTCCCTGTGTGTCCATTGTCCAGGTAAATATTAAAGCTGATGATGATAATAATAGTAGGTTAACTATTCACGTATAGGAATTAAATTGGTGTTTATTTATTATTTAAATAAATAGCGATGCCTCTAGCTAGAATACATGATATTAATATACCTAGATATTATATTTTGTTACATTCCTTTAGTTGTTATACCTTTTTACTTTTATAACAGTTTAGATTAGTTAGTAGATGGATATTTTATTAATAATTTAATTACGTAAAGTAATATATTAGGTTAGTTTAGTACCTACGTAAAGATATACTTGATTAATATACAGGGGAACTTTGAAAAATTCTGTAAATAAAAAATAATTTAAATTATCGACATACCTATTTTTAAAGCATGTTTATTTAGAAAATGGGCAAATATTTGTAGTAGTTATTTCAAATTTTTTCGGCGCGCCTTTTTTTTAGTTCTTGTAGCTCATCATGCTGTGCTTATAGGCAGGTAGAGATTATTTCTGCCAAAAAAGTATAATAGATACTTACCTAAAAGTAGTGTAACCGCCTATACCCCTTTGATCATTGTTTTACTCTCTGAAATGTTATTATTTACCTTACAAGTTTTACTTTAAATTTTATACTTACTGTATTTGGCCTTTTTCCTCTAGTAGTAGAAGTGATCGTCTAGTTAATTAATTGATAATTTTTACACCACCCACGTTGTGATAATGTAATGTAATATAAACCAGGATTCGATGCAATGTTTTGTGCAAATTGATAAGTAAAACATACAAATTCATATTTAAACTCTTTTTATGTTTCATACTTTAAATATGATGCAATAATTAGCAAAGTATATTACAATTGCTACTATTTACTGAGATCTCACTTGAGTCCCGGTCAAACGTAGACCACGTTTATTTGCGGAATTAACGAACAGCGTCAATTTGTCAGTTGGTTAACTACTGTGTTGATATTTATATTCTTATTTAGGTTAATTACCAATGGAGTTAACGAACAGCGCCAATTCGCTAGTTGGTTAACTACTGTGTTGATGTTGATTTGATTCTATTCTAGATATACACAGGTTGTACCCTCTTAGGTAAATATTTCAAAGATAATAGAGGTGATAGCCAACGGAAGTAACGAACAGCGCCATTTCATCAGTTGTTTACCTTAATAATATGTTGATTTCACATATACTTTGTTTCAAACCTTGTAGAATGGGTGGCTTAGTATATAGGTGTCCCCCCTTGAGCTAACGAACAGTGTATTCACCAGTTGGTTAACTTACTGTTAAATTTTACCATCTCGGTTTGTACAATTTATCCAAGATAGTACATCCCTGTATATTTCTAAAATATTGATTTTTATAATTTCTATTGAAATTACTAAATACAACAAGCCTGTATATTTCTTTAATATTGATTATTATAATTTCTATTGAAATAACTTAATACAACCCTGTATATTTCTTAATATTGATTTTTATAATTTATTTTGAATTAACTTAAATTCACCCGAAAACAGATGACTAACTTTTCGGGGTGAACGACTGAAGGCCACTTGGTTTATTGGTTACATTGATAATATTTGAAGCAAATGTCAGGCTCTCGTTTAAACGACCCCTCTGGTATCTCAAAGAAAGTTACATAAATCTTTTGACTCACCATTGAAAATATAGTCATTAGATTATGTACTAATTTCATCTAGCGTTGTGACGGCGTCTAGTTAGGTACGTCGTAGCGTTGAGCGTCGCCTTGCTTCGAGGCACTTAGCGTCGTGGTGAAGAGGAAGGTATTTAATACAGTACTGCTTTGGGACAGATATACGGCACTGCATTGGGACAGATATACGGTAGAAATATTTAGGTAGTACGGGACGTGATGAAGGGTGTCGATAAGGATATTATGAAGGAAATATTTGGGGGCGGCAAGCGTTGAGAAGTAGAGCGATGGGACGTTGGGCGTCGGAATGAATGTAAAGTAGGAAATACTTAGACGGTGCGGAATGTGACAGCGTTCGAGACGTAGATAGGTAGGGAAGTGGAGCGTCGAGACGTTGAGCGTCGGGATAATTCTGTACCATCCGTGAATAAGTGGATAAGTCAAATTTTAGTAAAAATAGGATATCTACATATATTTAAAGGGCTCTTTCCATTCTGTTTGGTGAATAAATTCGCAATAGCTTCTTCCATGATTTTACTACAGAGGACGCCGTGAATAGTTGGATTTCTCCAATTTTTTGTGCCAAAACCAGTTACTACAGCTATCCCCGGATTTGGAAGAGGTTTATCCAAATGATCAGTCGTTTTTTAGTTTTCTTTTCCAATCAAAATGTATGTTATTTGAAAAAAGTTCACTTTGCTTTTTTCATGAATAAATAAAAATATTAAAACATTTTTGTCCTGTTTATTTATACTAGAATAAGTCAGTAACTCAACAACAACATCACACACATTTAAGGTCAATAAATAGGCAAGTCAGATTTTTTCCATTAAGTAATATAATTTCACAGGTCATAATTATTTACATTGTTGGTTGTATAATTAACAACTTATTTAAAAAAAAACGGAATTCAACTTAAAATTTATTTTTCAAAACATCATAATGTTGTTTAAAATGGCCATACTTCAATTTTTGACTTACTGACTTATTCACAGATGGTACAGAATTATAATGGTAGGAAATACTAAAGTGGTGTTAGAAGTGATAGCGTAGAAAGGTAGGGAAGTAAGACGGCAGGACGTTGACACCTTCGGGGATAGGAGGTATTGCATGATAGACGTCGTTTAGGAAGAGCGTTTTAGGAAAGGTATAGACTATCTGGATACAAATAATAAACTGATTGCTTGAATGTAAAATAATAAAATGAATGCTTGCACTTCAAATAATAAAAAACGAATGCCTTGCGAGCTCATTTGGATCTGAGTTCTTATAGCCGTTTTAATGGCTGGTAAACAAAGACGTTACCTCGAAATGATACTGCAACAAAAAATAAAACAAATAATTATTTATTTAATATTGAACCCATAATTAAAATTTACTTAAAACAGAAATTGTTCAAAATGTTGTCCATTTAAGTCTAAACCGAAACCGACTTTTCTCCGCAATCCAGCAAAAACGTTATGCAACATTTGCAGTGAGTTGTTGATTTCACATTATATATTACGTGATTTCTTAGTTCTTACAGATTATGAATTAACAAAAAAACGAGGAGGTATCTCTAGAAATTTCGTAGAAAGTGCTGGTGAATACCAGAACATTTGGGTCCGGCAAATTCTTGTGTAAATAGGCTGTTTTGCTGCTGCAGCATATTAGTTAATGTTAAGACATCGCTGCGAGAAGATGAATATAGTAAAATCTCTGAATATTTTTTCGGATACTTTAAAAGAAACAGCTTTCGGCTACATGTAAAGTATCCGGATACTCTATCTGGATACAGAATTATCCGGATAGTACCCAACTCTGAGAATAGAGTAGTAGTGCAATTTGTCAAATATTTTGGAAAAAATCATATGTGCATGTGAAGTAAAGGAACCAAATATTTTTATATATGCAGGGATAAAGGGTTTAAATATTTTAACATGGGCTGACTTAAGGGGCAAGTGTCCCAGATATTTTTACATACATTATTTGAAGTTCTAATAATTTATAACCCATAATATAAAGTCTATATGGAATAGTTCTCAACCCGGGGCTATGTTGTTTAGTTTAAGTTACGGCAATGCTTCACAAACCTGTAAAATTCAACGTCTCTCATCGCCTTTCGTTAAAAATCAAATCGCTTCTCGTTTTCTGATGCTAAACTTCGCTAGTGTGGCTCTCAATCCAGATAAAGTGATAATCATCAATTTAGCTTTCTTCAAATTTTATGGTATGCAATTCAAATAAAATTTCATACGTTTGCCAATATTTTATATTTTCACGGAGATAGAAGTTTATTATTCTTTCACAGCTGAAATTTCTAATTTTAACTGTAATGTTTGATTTTGTTTGGGTTAAGTATTATGTGATTTACAACGTTAATTTTTTATCAATCCGTTAATCTTGGAAAAATGCAGCAAAATTCTTTTATTATTATTTTTTTTATAGATTATAATATTGCATTATTTAACGTAGGTGCTAAGTACTATTACTTTTGTTTGCCATTCTAGTATGAGTTTATGTATGAGGTTTTAGAATATTAATCTTTTATATAAATAAAAATTTCCTTGGGTTATTCGGTCGTTTTTATTTTTTATTGTTTAGCACAGTACTATATATGTTTCGGAAAACTTTTCCATCTTCGGGTGCAGTCAAAATTAAAAAAAAAAAAACATGAAGACGATTACAATTTAATTTTTTTTTTAAATAACAGAAACCCCATCTTTCTGTTTCAGCGTATGAAGATTTTTTCGAAAACGACCGAATAAACCAAGGAAATTTTTATTTATATAAAATTCTGCTACGGTCAAGAAAATTTTCTTATTCAATTTAATCTTTTATTTTAATGTAGAGAAACTAAAAATAACTACTTATATCTTTTTAATAATTTGATGGCTGTCATTTTGTATTTCCCAAATTACTGTTTTCCAGCTGTCGGTTATGGTGGCAGCGAAAATTGGATTGTTCTTCCTCATGCTTATCTTATCTCTAACTATAACTGTTTGTATTTACTCTTCTTTGTAATATATTAATAATATTTCAAATTCCCACCCACCCTAAATGTATATTTGAATTGAAAATAATTATTTAGGACTCAAATTTAATTGTTTGAATTTGGATCTTTTAAATATTTTAAAAATCAATTCTCATTAATACGAAAATAATAGGAATTTCAGAAAAAAATTGTGTGTGTACTTAATTTAGTTTCTTACCTAAAATACCTTCTAAAATAGACCGAACAAAAGTCTTTAGCCCTATTTAAATTAAGGCCCGCGGTTTCTAAAATCTTTCTCTTAACATAAGAATCCTTTCTTCTTCCTCTACAATATTTAAAATACAAATTTTTAATAACACTAACATAATATACCGCATAACAAGTGCATCCCAAAACAATATTTGTCTATCTCGTGTCCTATTGGTATAGTCTATTTGTATGTATGAGAGAGTATTAAAATAATAAAGCGTTCGTAATCCATAGGCATACCACTTCTTTTAGTAGACAGTTAAAATATTTTTTGAAGTTATTCCTCGAGTATACACTTATATGTTCACCTAATTAACCTGCTTATAACTTCTGAACAGCTGAAGGTAAAAAAGTGCAATTTTTTCTAAAATGTTTTATTTTTCCACAAGGTATGTTAAGAACATTGTGTCAAACGGGTTATGTAGGTATAAGGGTTTAAACTTTGACTTTTAAACAACGTTACGTTCATAAATAATAATTTTAATACAAAAACTACTTCTTACCTACAAATCCAAATCCGAATCGAAATCAGAAGATGAACTGTCGCCACCAATATTTACAGTGAGTGGCTCGATCATTTCATCAGTAATATTGTCCAACTTCCACATTTTCTCTTCTTCTTCTTTAATCGTATGATTTACTGCCTTTTCCCAGTTTTCAGGCTTCACATTATTTACAGCCTCCAAAAACAACTGTTTAACATCACTCATTTTAAAAGAATTATTTTTTCTTGAAACTTCTCCCTTTATCTGTGCCCATGTCAGTTCAATCGGGTTTACTTCGCAATGATATGGAGGTGATCTAACCACCGTCATCCCACGATTTTTTGCAATTTCATCAATTTCATATTTTTTGAATTTCTCTTTATGAAGGGAACACAAATGATACAGTTCTTTTCTCACAGAACCGGGATGGAACTTAATATTCTTTGAATTTAGCCAATTCTGTAAATCTTTTTTTAACCACTTGGTTGTGGGCATTTTTTCTATAAGTCTCGAGTGATAACTTGCATTATCCATTACTATTATACAGTTCTGAGGAAGAAGATCTATAATTTGTTCGAACCACTCTTTAAAGCCATCAGCATTCATGTCCGCATGGTAGTCACCGGTACGAGTAGATTCAAAAGTCACTAAACCACTTTTAACAAAACCGTTTGAACTACCGATGTGTACTATTATTAGTCTGCGCCCCTTTCCTGATGGTGGATTTAAACCAGTAGATAAATTATTTAAAAAAGCCTGTCTTCGACTTGTAACAGTTTCATCTTGCCAAAATTTATTTGGTTTATGTCCCTCGTTGATCCATGTTTCATCTAAATAAAATATATTTCTTCTTTGGTTTCTCATTTCTTTTATAGTCCTTAGGTAATTTCTTCTCCATACTACAATATCGCTTCTTTCTATTAAAATAGACTTTCTGGAATGCTTTTTCCATAGAAAACCTATTTCTTTTAAAAGTTTCCATAGTGTGCTTCGACTCATTTCAGGGTAATCCTTATCATCTCGAACCGTGGCAAGAACTTTGTCTACTGTCGGATATTCTTTTCTAAAGAAGAACGCATGCACTTTTCTTCGAAGTCTTTCTTTCAAAAGATTTTCTAATTGAAATTTTTGTTTTCCTGGAGCTTTACGTGCTGTTTGAAACTCGCCACATTTCTCTTCTTTAACAACTCTGTAAATCGTAGATTTCCCAACACCAAGCGTACTACTAACTAATTCCATTGTGTCATCAACACTTTTACATAAATGTGTGTCTGTAAATGATTTAAAACAATTAAATATTAATGTTTTTTCATTAACTGTTAAAGGACCGATTTTTTGTCGTTTACGCGGCCCTTCCAAATTTTCCATGATCACACTAGAATTCGCACTGCACCTTGCAAGTTGCAACTAAACGACATTTAGTAAACTGTCAAGAATACACAACTTGGACCTCCTTACTAAATGGAAAACCTATAATCGCATTTTCGGTGAAATTTGTTGGGAAGGTATTTATCTACTTATAATTCGATTACTGTAAGAAATTATTGGAATTAAAATAAAACAAAATCGGCAAATAGGTACTTATTGAAAATAATCTTAAGATACGGCTATGTAATCTTTAATACACAGGGCTTTTGGCCTGTCCAAACCTTTTTCTATTATTCTGTACAGCTTATGTTTATAAAGGACCAATAAAAGACCCAAAACTTGTAATAGCTCAAGTACATTTATTACAATTTTAGGAAATATTTAGATTATTCTGTAAAAATATTTAAAATGACCGTACTAAGTTTTGCATTAGAAATGCTGTTTTATTCTCTCATACATAAAAATAGACTATAGTTACGGATGCAATTGAATTAAAGTATCTGATAATAAAGGTTTCTATATTTTAAGGTGGGAGTATTAGAGGAGATACCTGATGCGAATTTCCCCTGAAACGAAATTAATCATCCCGTATCGTACGCCCATGGTTGAAACAATTACAAATTATTTAACTATGTTTTTTTTTCTTTCAGATCGCTAAAAACATGTTGAAACTGCTCATCCCCCTGGCTCTTCTGACTACAGTCCTCTTTCTAACCATCCACACCGTGGACAGCTGCAACGAAGCCGTATGCGGCAGCGTAGTCAGCAAATGCTTGCTGACAAAATCCTGCAATTGCGATTTGAAGAACTGCACTTGCTGCAAGGAGTGTTTTAACTGTCTCAGTTATTTGTACAGCGAATGTTGCTCCTGCGTGGGTGAGTATTTATAAAACGTTTTTTAAGTGTTTTCGTATTCTGCCAATTAATCGTTTCCTGGAAACTTGGATTAGACGTGTATTTTTTCGTAACATAGGCGTAGAGAAGTTTTTTAGTGGGTACAAAATGTATATATAAAAAAGAAAAAAATAGTGAATACTATTTTCCGCTTGAGTTCACTTAGGACGCATGTCCAATCATTAACAAATATAGACACGTCGATTTTGTTATCGAGGCGGACAAGTTTTGATCGTTAACTCATGGTTGTACGGTCATCCCCCTAAAAGGAATGACAACCCCTTCAAAAAATTTTCATGGGGGTCGAGTGGCTCATCATTTGAAAGGTATTTCTATTCCCTTTACAGACATGCTAACATTTTTTGTTAAGTGTTAAAATTAATGCAAAAAACCAGCTAGAATTGTAGGCGAAAGAAATTTAAAAAAAGTTGATAGGAAAGTTTTAATTAAAGTAAGTGTTCAAATTGCGATCCATTTACTTCCAAACAGTAATAAAACCTTTGTTTAACACTGTTCCGAAAATTTTGTAGTATTGCAGAAGTTTTGTACATGCCACAGTTATCTGGTGGCGAAGATCTTCTAAAGAGTTCGGTTGCATATTATAAATAACACTTTTTAAATAACCCCATAAGAAGAAGTCCAACGATGTTAGTTCTGGCGATCTTGGGGGCCATTATATAGAACCTTATTTAATTAAGAATATTAAAACTAAATAAAATGTTAAAGAGTTTCAATGGAGGTAAGAACAGAGCGTTTGACTTCCATGCAAGAGGCCCGGGTTCAAATCTGGGCTGGGGACTAATTAAATTAAATCTTTTTTTATGTTTATTTTATTTTATAAATTAATAAAAGTCATAAATTAATTTAAAATTGGTTATTTTGTCTTAAAAACCTAAAATAAATATTAAAATTTGTAGATTTTCGTTGGTGGGTCGTAGAAAAAATATACTGTACATCTCGAGTGGATTGTCCATGTCCATTCTTGTTGCACAAACTACTATGTTCGAATTTAAATTTAATTTTAATGTCTAGAAAAATAACCCTTAATGTTAATTTTTTATAAATATTTATTTTGTTGCCTTCTTTGTAGACATGTGTCCCAAACCGAACGACACTGGAACCGACCTGAGTAGAAAATCCCATGTGGAAGATTTCGATGAAGTGGTCCCGCAGTTATTTATGGTTTTAACAGAGTTACCTGATCCCCATAAAAGATGGGAAACCAAGACCTTCCCTGTAGATATGGAATTCAATCATTACGAACCTAAAAAGGAAATTAAAATTACCATGTGTAAGTATATTATCGTTTTGCTATTATTAACTATTTTACACATGGACTACTGAACGGATATTTTCGTGTCCATATTCTGGTAGCGACACTGTACGGATATAAAATTCACCAATTACTTTTCATATTTGGTGACCAGGTAACTATTATTTTTTTTAATCCGTAAAGTTAGGTGACTTTGAGCCGCATGGGTGCGTTTAGCTCAAATCAGTAAATAGTTATTTTTGTTCACAAAAAATTATACATCCTATTTTTAAAATAAAATTCACGCTGGTTGAACTGTAAGGTATTAAAACTTCCCAAAACACTTTATTTAAAGACAATTTTACGCTTACGCTTTTTGTAGTATAAAAAATTAACTCATTGCAAAATAATCAAAATTGAAAGGTAATAAAATTTGTATGCAACCAACAATACTGTTGTTAGTAATATTTTTTGTTATTATCTTTACCGTAAGCAATAATAAATATTTTTTAATGATAAAATCTGTTTTACTATCAACTGTGATGGGTGGCTTTAAACCAGCAAGTAATATTATAGAGAAAACAATGTAAAATGATGGGTGAGTCAAAGTTACTCTCTACCTGCGGGTGGCTTTGAACACTCCATTTTTATTTATTATTTGAAAAATAAGACCATTTGAGATATTTTCGCTTAATAATTCTTAAAATATAACTGAAGACTAAATTATGGCGAAAATTCGAATTTGGATTTGCTTTTATTTAACAATTAAAAGTAGGTTTAAATTTTGACAGCGAGTCAAAGTCGCCCGACTTTACGGTATATTAAATAAGTGACAATTCTGTCAAATAGATAGACAAGGAGGCTACGGGGCCACTACTTCCAAAGTCGCCGCTAACTTGTATCTCTTCGCTTCATTGATTGCTATGGAAAACATATTTAGCTTCATATTATTTACCACCGAGTAATTCATATTTCGCCATTCTGTTTCATTGTCAAAACATATTATCATTTGCTGTACACCATTCGGTACATTGGTATACAGTATATTGTTTAATGTAGCAGTAAGTATAATAAAATTAGCTTTCAATAAGGCCATATCTGCGTCGGTTGAATTCTTCTAAGCGAATATTGATTAAGATGATATCTCTCAAAGGTTTTATCCCAAGGACCTAAATTTGTTAGGTCTCTTAAAACTTCCCTTTATGTCTCTACTTAGTTATCTAACTCTTTTATTAAACTCTTCAATTCTACGTCTATTCTCTTTGCTTCACATCTCGATACTAAGTAGTAATTGAAATTCAATAGTTAGTGTGAATTACCTTCCCACTCCCCGTTTAAATCTGACCAATAATAAACGTAATTTTTCTCTTCATCGGTAATTCCCCCACTCCTCTGTTTTTCCCGTCCAAATCCGACCAAGAATAGCCGATATACATGCTTAGGCCCTTTTGGTATTGCTACTGTGCAAGATTTTTCTATTCAACGTTAATCTATAGCGAGTTCTCTATATAATGCCATTTTTTTCATTTAAATATGACCAATAGTAGCCAAGATACACGATTAGGACCTTTTAACTTTGAGATTGCGCATGATTTTTCTATTCAACGTTAATCTATACCAAATTTTCTAAATAATTCCGTTTTCCTTGTTTAAATCAAACCAATAATAGCCGAGAAAATGTTTAGGTCCTTTTGGCATTCCTACTACGCAGTATTTTTCTCTTCAACGTTAATCTATATCACGTTCTCTACGTAATTGGTTTTCCTCGTTTAAATCCGACCAATAATAGCCGAGATATACGCTTAGGTCCTTTTGGCATTGCTACTGCGCATGATTTTTTTCTTCAACGTTAATCTATATCACGTTCTCTGCATAATGTCGTTTTCCTCGTTAAAATCCGACCAATAATAGCTGAGATACACGCTTAGGTCCTTTTGGCATTGCTAGAGGATTTTTCAACGATAATCTATAGGTTCACGTAAACGATGGCCACCATCTTGGATCGCTTAGTCGAGTCGCAAACCAGCCGAGTTTCAATTGGTCACCACTGACAGGTGGCGCTATCGAGCGGCGACTTTGAAAGTAGTTGCCCCGTAGCCCCCTTGCCTACCTACTTATTAAACTAATTGTCAGTACCTATATTTGCTTTCACTGAAGCTACACTGCTCATTATAAAGTTAATCTATTGTGCAGTATTGTTGTTATTATTGTAATACTGCTGATACTATGAATAAAATTAAGCCGAAAATTACACCTTATGGGTTATTTACGTACTACTAAACCACCCTTGACCTTTGTTCTAACTGATACTAACATGTGGGAATTAAAGGATACATTTAAACTAATAAAAACTAAACATTCTTTCGTACAAGATGAAATATCAATCGACATTTTTTAAAATTTACTAGACACTGCGTTATCTGTTCTAGCAATTCTTATTAATGGCAGTATCGGATTAGGTATATATTCATATTTTCTAGTGTAGACATACCACTGCATAAAAGCTGTGATAAAGTTACTCCATGCAACTACAGGCAAATTAATTGAAAACCTTATTAAATTTTGCTTATATAAGTTTTTAAATGAATTCAATATTCTAACAATAGCTTTGTTCCAACACACACAAAAACCGTAATATTACGGTCATCGTCATGCGCAGTAAATAAAAACCTATCAATAAAGCCCAAAGTCGAACGTGACTACAGGAAGCTAAATGTGACCACTCAAAATGCATTTAACTATGTATGTGGTGGCTATTTAATCAAAAAATCATTACATATCCACTCTTGCGAAAATTAAGTAAATTTCTCAGAAGAATGTAATTTACTTAACAATTCTAACTTGTTAACGCATTTTAAAGCATACGACTCTGAAGAAAAGGTATTTGGCAATTTAAAATCAACCAGCGAAAAATTTCTCTTTTTTATTTTCAAATTAGAAAAAATATTTATATCTCTATTTGATAGTTTGTCAACTAAGCCTGGAATTTCCAACGCATACCTTTTTGAGATGAGCAAAATAGAATTTGGTCATTCTTGCCAACAATTTGCGAAAATGTACACCATTAAATTATTTATAAGACTCAGAATTTTTTATACTCTTAAATATGCAAACAGAGATTTGAAATCCTCGAAAAAGTTAGACAAAACCAAAATTAAAATTAAAATTTTGTCCCATTTATAAATATCATTGATTTTTTTTTCATCATATTTTAGACTGCTTTATATATAAAAAAAAAGTTATTTTTCTTTGTAGTTTTATTTCTTAACTATTTTCAACTAACGTTTTTTCGTAATCACAATAATTAAATTATTATCATGGTCCAACAAACGCGCACCTTAATCCGAAACCGGCATCGCCTTTGTGAGGGAGCCGGTAAAGATGCCGCTGCGTACATTCGTATCTGGTCTAGGTACAGTCTGTTCGCTATACTTACGCGGGTTTCGGATTAACAAAATTATGCAAATTAGTCATTGGCAACCAATTCCAATAAGCCGCTTCCGAAGAAATTAGGTAAAATTGCCCTAATGGTCAGATTTAAATTAAAATAACATTAGGGTAGGTACTAAATTTGTTACAAATATTGCATTGATTCTTTGCAAGTGTTAACATTGTATGTATATTGTAAATTTAGTGGAAATTTCACAAATGCCTAGACGCGTGTTAGATGTAAATAGTCTAATTTGTAGTGTACATATGTATTTTATGGATGAAAAAGAAAATGGCGGTCCTTTAAAATCGGTAATGTCTGTATAACAACTCGTATGCGATGCTCTAGGAATTAGTGAAACCAAATTAAGAAGAGTATTACAAAATCACAATAGTGAACTGTCGAAAGAAGATCCCGCAAAACTCGCCCATCATTGAAAACGAAAGATATTCCAGATGGAAAGAAATTTGAAATTCGTGATACCCTTTATCGAATGAGGGCCAACAAGGAACATGTGACCTTAAATACAATTCTCTCAGAATTAATAGATAGAAAATTTGACGACATTGGCAGAACAAGTCTATGGCAAGTGATACATAACTTGGGTTTCAAATTTCAAAAGGAGGATAACAGAAAGGCCTTTTGTGAAAGAAGTTCTGTCGTGCACGAGAGAATTAACTTTCTAAGAAAATATTCTAAATTTAAATAAGGAGGGGTGAATTTTATATATTTAGACGAAACATGGATATTTTCTAGGGGTGCAACCAAGAGAATATGGCAAGATGATAACGTAAAGTCCATCAAACATACCGATGGAAAGCGACACATAATTTTACATGCAGGAGCGAAATCAGGTTTTATAGAAGGTGGTGATTTAATATTTTCATCTAAATCAAAATCCAGTGACTATAACGATAATATGAACACAGAAATGTTTGTTAAATGGTTGCATGAAAAACTTCTCCCAGGTTTAAGTGAGCCCAGCGTAATTATTTAAGACAATGCACCTTACTATTCTGAAGTATTTAACAAAAGTCCAACGAATTCTTGGACTGTTGATAAAATTAAAGAATGGTTGACAAAGGAACATACCATTTCCTCAATATATATTAAAATCAGAATTATTACGCTTGGCAAATATACACCCAAAACCAAAAACCTTTGTTGTGGATCAGATTATCGAAAGTTACGGTCATCAAGTTTTACGTCTGCCACCGTATCATTGCCAGTTTAATCCCATCGAATATATATGGGGAATAGCAAAACAATATTATGACAACCATATTGGGCCTAATGGTTATAGTGACGACCCAGTTCGGGAAACTTGGTGAAAAGCACTTTCAATTGCAACTCCAGAAGTGTGGCGGAACTGTATATCCAAGGGCGAGAAACTAATAGAAGATTGGTGGACTCGTGAAAATAAAATAAACGAAATAAGTCCAATCATAATAACAATTAATGGTGATGACAGTGATGATGATGACGATTATGATATTTTGGATGATAATGACTGATTTTCATTTTTGTTGGCAAGTTCATTTTTTTTATTTTTCATTTAAAATTCTCTACATGGAACAAATTTTTATGTTAGAAAATATTTTATTTGAGCTAAATGACCATCTTATTATACATAGACCATATTTTCTGTGTGAAGTGTAATGTAAAATTATTATTAGGTTTATAATAGCCACATTAGACTCCATTAATGAAGAAGTTTAATTCTGCTCTCAATTATACAAAAGATTCTCCATTATTATTTAATTAAAAAGTTGTACATTATTTTTCATTTCAATTAACCAGTTGATATTTCCCCAAAGAACAGGTCAAACTTGCAGGTACTTACCTGGAAATACTCATAAAAATTTTAATCCGAAACCCGCGTAATTATAGCGAACAGACTGTATATTAATTCTCAGAACACTCCCTTATTTTTTGGATTCTTCGTGTTCATCATGACCTCGCAATGTTAATTCTAATGCACCACAAAAACTAATACAGTTATTTTTGCCAACTTTAAAGATGCTAAAAAAACTACTAAAATATAATCAGTATTTTTATATTATGATGAATGATTCTAAACGTTGATTAAACTCGCTAGGAATGTAATTAATTAAATATAATTAGTATTGACAATATACTATCACAATCCATTTCAGCGTAATAGCCTACACCTGTAGTAATATACGACTCACTATCATAGTTTTATCTTTGTAGACTGGCATCGGATTTAATCCATTTGCCACATAATTTTTATTTAGCTTTATTATATTAATTTTAAATTATTTAATAAATTTGATCAATGTTTTAAATACTTTCTTATCGCTTGAGCTCATTAGCAGCATAATATTGGTTGAAAAAGAAATACCTAGATCTAAGTTTATCATAAAATTATTTCTAAATTGATTGTGGCTTTTGCATACAAATATCAAATTATTGTTTTCACAAGTTACCAATATTAAATAGACAAGATGAAAACCCATCGTGGTTCAACCTGATTCTAGTAATCTAAATATAGGTATTAAGAAATGTGAGGAATTTTATAAGGTTTAATTTGGGTGTAGTGATCTCCATGCAACTGTAACGTGTGAGCCCATTATGCTTCCCCCTTTTTTTGTTGCAGGGAACATCATTCATGGGCACCATTCGCTCTACTCTATCGGGAAATGTTAGTGTGGGACTTCCAGTACGTCTAGTGCAAACTAGGTTTACCCAATAAAACCCCTCTGCCACCGTAGTATCGTTTGTTCAACATTCTTCGCGTTGGTAGATTGTTTTTCCTAATTTTATTCTATTGTCTGATATTCTCGTTCGTTTATCTCTTAAGTTGCATATTTGCCAAGCTCCTGATGTCTCCCACATGTTTGTTTTTCTCTCTTGCCCAAAGCGTTCAAACCTTTCACACATCAAGAAGTTAAGCTTTGACGTGCCTTGCTATTTGTAATATATACAGTGTTATCATCATCAGATTTCCCAATTTTCAGCATAATTGTTTTGAAAAATATGTGTCATGTCAACAACTATGTCATCCAGTAGTCGATGTTTACATTCCATCCCCTCCGTGACAGTCTGAATCAGTTTCTTCATCCATTGGACTGTCTATGTCTGGTGGTTTTCGTCCAACACTTGCTGCCATACTCTCATTGTTATCTCCCTGGCATCTCCTCTTGCTTCTTCTAGTCTTCCAGTTCCCGTTCGGTGTATGTACCTTCTTTCTTCCTTCAATAAGTGGATGGGAGTTATCCCAGAGAGCACTTGCTCTTCTCTGAGTGACACTGTTTTATATGCGCTCGCCACCCTTGAGGCAATTTTTCTCTGGGCTTTCTCCATCTTTGCTCTATAAGCTTCCATTCTATGAGCTCCCTCTCACATCAACGCTTTGTGTAATAATATAAGTCCCCAGCAATAATCTTTTGACCTTTGATTCATCTTAGGGTGACCACATTGTTCATGGATACTTCGGCCAAAGCTTCGTGACTTTCTTGTACTAACCCTGAGTAAATTTGTGCTCTGCCCAGGGTGAGAAATGCTTGTTTGCTATTTGTGTGGATGAGCATGTTCCTTTCAGTGATATTGTTTCTGATAACTTTTTTTGCTGCTATGAGAATCCCCGTGATCTCGGTTTGAACTACATTGGCACTATTGTTCACAGTCTTATGTTTATGTTTAAGGATCTGGAGTATATGGTCTTGTAATTGTTGTAATTATAACTTTTCTCAATTGGTTCTTATGCCTTTTTTAAAGCAGTCAGGAACCCTGTACATTTTCTAGTAGAGCTCGATTTTTTTGTGAAGAGCACATTTCGTCATAGCTATGCCACACTCAAAATAGCTAAATAAATGCAACAAGTACAAATAAGTAACACTACTCTACTGAATTCAACTTGTTTGAGCGGTGATGAGCGGCAGGCGGCTTCGATCACGTTTAAATCTGTCTGACCACGCCTACAAACTCAAATTGGTTTCTGCACATTATGACGAAGTGTCCTCTTCACAAAAAAATCGAGTTCTAATACTACAAATTTTTTGACAGTACTCTAAATTTGTGGCATATTTTGCAGTGGAGTCTACCAATTCTTTCTCAACTATTCTTAGGTAGACTTTAACCCAACAGAATACTATATTTTTATTAATATTTTGAAAGTGTTTCTCCTAATAGTGGTTGGAATGTATGTTTGAAGGATGTTGCTGTAAGATTGTGTTTGCTTCGGCCATAAAAACAGAACCTATATCCAAGAGTTTATCTTTCTCTTTAATAAATGCATTCTACTTCTATACTGAACGTATTTTATTGCAACAGTGAACATATATGGGGCCTGTGTATGACATAACCATCCAATCAATAATTTACAGAGACGTATATGCTTTCCTTTTGCTTCCGTCGCACTCGTAGCTAAAATGTGCAGTGAAGTATTGAAGTAGAGTGTAAAATTGGTTGCCTAGGTAAATCTCTTCTACCTCTTGTGATTAATAGCCAATCACTAATTAAACTTTTACACGTAACACATTAAACAAGTTTTCTTTATATTAGTCTTTTATTTTTTAGTGAGCGCCGAGCAAGAAGTCGATCCAGCCAAACAGAACATGATCACGGTGAATTGCACAGTGGCATTTTGGGCACAATGTATGAGCTGGACCAAATGTAAATCCAGTTGTCTGAGCATGGGGGCATCTAGTTACAGATGGTTCCACGACGGTTGCTGTGAGTGCATCGGGCAGTATTGTCTTAAATTCGGCATCAACGAAAGCAGGTCAGTGTAGTTTCAATATACAGGGTGAGGCACCGAAAATGAAACAGATCGCATATCTTGAAGACACATTTTTTTGGAGAAAATGCAAAAAGAGGTCCATTTTTATTTCAGAGGGGGCATCTTTCGATCATATCCTCAACTATCCTACATCCCTCCCCACCCCTCTGTCAATATTACCAATGAAATTGAAATAGGGAAAGTACTAAGTGTGACATATCATTGAAAAGGTAATTTTATAAGGAATTTGACTGTGTGACATGTGACAGTTCAAATAAGCGTATTGTCATGTGAAAGCCAAATTTAAAAATTTCATGCATAATTACCTTTGGAATAAAATTGAACTTACTACGCCTATGTTTTCGTAAAATAAATAAAGGTTTTTATTTCCATAACTACCAGGTCTGTTTTTAGTTAAGCGTCATTGATACTTCAAGTCTATTAGCGAGTAAAACATAAAAATGGTTTATTCTATTCAGGAGAGAGTAGAAATTGTTGAATGTTATTTAAAAAATAACGAATCTGCCTGTACAATTTTCAATGAGCGACACCCAAATAAACAGGTTAAACGTAAGTACGTCTGGAACTTATTTCAAAATTTCGACAAACAGGATCTGTTCAAAATAAAAAACGATTCTAAATCCAGTAAGAAACGAAGCCGTATAGATAGCCGTTTTAGGACAAGTTGTTGCAGATCCAACTCTTAGTACAAGAAAGCTTGCAGAATTATCTGGAGTAAGTGACCGTACCGTCAGAAGAATTTTGAAAGCCAACAAATTCTATCCCTATAATATTCATTTAGTTCAGGAACTTAACGAAGACGATTTTGATCGCCGCTTGCAATTTTGTGAAATCATGAGCGTGCATGCTATACAAAATCCACATTTTCTTTATAACATTTGTTTTTCAGATGAATGCAGTTTTTAGTTTTTATGTTAACGGGACTGTCAATCGACATATTTGTCGATACTGGTCAGATTCCAATCCAAGAGTATTTCATGAAACGCATACTCACCCAGAAAAGTTAAACGTTTGGGCTGGAATATTTGGCGATCGTATTGTTGGTCCATTATTTTTACCAGGTACCTACTACTGGGGATATGTATTTGGAATTACTCGAAAACACCGTTGATCCACTGTTAACATACATAATAGAAAACGATAACCGATACCTTGAAGATCACCTAATATTTCAACAGGAAGGGGCTCTTCCACATTTTGCTGCAGCGATTCGTCAGTACTTAAATGAAAACTTTCCTAGACATTGGATTGGACGAAGAGGATTTATTGAATGGCCCCCACAATCTCCTGATCTGTCCCCCTTAGATTACTTTTTATGGGGATATCTGAAAGTAAAATATACGCCACTCAGTCAGATTCCTTAGAAGAGTTACGTGAACGTATTATTACCGAATGTCGTCAAGTAACTCCAGAAATGTTTCAAAACGTCAGACAAAGATTTGAGAATAATTTATATTTGTGTATGGAAGTTAATGGACAACACTTTGAGCATTTACTTTGAAGTAATTTAGTTTTTAATTATGGGAGTTGTCCTAAATTTTTATTTATTTATTTTTTTTATTTTTATTATGAATTGTCTATTAAATGAGTTTTACTTTCAAATAAAGTATCATTATTTAAAATACGAAAACTTTTCCCGCAAGATGGCGCCAAAATCAAAAGTTACGTAATAAACTGTCACACAGTCAAATTCCTTATAAAATTACCTTTTCAATGATGTGTCACACTTAGTATATAGATATATATAAAGATGTTACCTTTGAAATAAAAGTCGACCTCTTTTTGCATTTTCTCCAAAAAAAATGTGTTTTCAAGATATGCGATCTGTTTCGTTTTCGGTGCTTCACCCTGTATAATACAATAATGTGCAAATTATGACAGTAAAAGAAGAAAAATACCTGTGGATATCCACTTTGACGGATTAAACGTAATTGATATCTATGAACGAACAATCCAATAAACATTTTGTGTAGGGGAATAAAAGGCCCAATAACTGTTAATATATGATAGCTTCAACTGTTTTATATGTTCTTCAACGGGTTTAATCCTTTGTGTCCCAGGCCACTTTTTTTTAAAGAAATTTTCTTTAAATTCACTTTTTACAACTAAAACGGTTAATTTGATCACACTTTTACCTAGGAAAAAAATCTTACCCTCACCACTTGTTTTTTAGGTTTAGTGGACTTAAAAGTACCGTTGGGACTGAAGAATTTTTTTTGCACTACATAGGAAAACACACATTGGTTGAATAATGTATTTATAGATAATTCAAAGAAAAATTTAATATACATTTACATCGTGATATGCAGCAAAACAATTTTTCTTCTCGTTGTAACATAAATAAACTCCACAAGCTGTACATTTTGAATGTGGACGAGACTGGATCGATTTCGAAAAACACTGTTCACACTCTTCTTTCTTTTGTGAATGTCACCAGTGTCTTCCTTTATTACCCAATCTTATATCTTGGCATACACTATAGTCGTATTTTCTTCTTTTTGGAGGCATGACGGGAGAGTTTCGGGATTGAGCACTGCAACGACCCTTATTATTGATCCTGAGACCACCGGAATTCCCATTCATCAGGCCTTGTGCTACCGAGCGTCTAAATTCTAAAAGCGTCATTTTATCTTCTTCGAGTTTTGAATATAAAATGTATGCATTTACAAATGCTATGTCAAGTAGGCCAAAAAATAAACGGTGCCACCATTTCTTAGATCTCCTATCAACACAATAACTACCACGCAATTGATCTGCATGATCTACGGCACCCATATGCCTATTATAATCGGCTACCACATCTGGACATGGTATTTGTGTCTTGGATCCATCCTTTTCCTTTTTTCCTACTATACAAGTTTGACTTTTGACAAATTTGATGCGAAGTGTACACATTTATTATCTTTCCATTTGAAGAAACTAATGTCAGTATTTGAAACGCTATAATCAAAATTTCCGCGTTTCATTTTTTTCTCTTCAATGGATAATTGAGGACAATCTTTCCTAGATGAACGAATAGTTCCACAAGCTAAAGTTTTTTCTATTTTAGAAGAGAAGAGACTCTCAAGTACCATCGGGTCTGGGAGCCGACTTTATTGACAAACACAATTTTATTGCTGGTTAAAAAAGGTGGTACTTAAAAGTACCGTTGGGACACAAAGGGTTAATAAAAGTATCTAGTGGTGTATAACATTAATTTAAGACATACTAGTAAGAACTACTACACAGGAATGTTACAACTATGGTAATAAATTGACGTCGAGGACCTGACATGCATGACATGGATAATTAACATGACAGACATTTAGGGGGCGTTCCATTAATTCATATCGAACACCAACAATATAAAAACATCGAAATTATTATATAAAAACCGTAAACCATTTGTGATAAAAAAAAGAATGGACAGATCCAATAAACAGTGACGCTAGTAGAATTCACTGTCTCTAAACACAACCAATCTTTTGATAGAAACATTTTTAGTATTTTATTACTTTTAAACTATCTTCAATTTTATTTTCTTTCAAACTGATCTACGTAGTATATTTCTAAAAATTGAACTGTGGTTTCTCTTTTTTACAGATGTTCAGAGTGCCCTGGCGGAGAAGAAAGCAAGCAGCTCGTAGATGACGATGAAGACGATTACGATTACGGTGAACACGATGATGATGACGAAGATGTTTGAATACTAACAAAATTAACCCACTGTTTTTGTATGTACGTTTATTTAAAAATGCCATTTAATTAATTAGAACGTATTCCTAGTGCCAATATATATCGATTATTATTTGATAAAGATTATCAAACGTAACAAATAATATAATAATTTCCGTCCATAAATATAATAGAGATATTAAATTTTCATTTCTTAATGAATATTAAGTATATTAAATTATATTTTTATGTACCTAGATATACTTACAAATATCAGAAAACGCTTACATTTTGTCTTAAATTTTTATGTAGATATAGTTTCTTTGTAGCTATAAGCTGTATATTTTTGTATAAACTAATTTATAGTTTAAATATTAATGTAATCTACTAATTTTTGTATTAAAATCTATGTATTCATAATTATTATATTATCAGAATAAGTATTACAAAATAACTATAATATAGAATTGCTTTTTTATTTCATTTATACATCCCACAAAACAACACAGTATGTCTGTCGATTCCCCCTTTTTATTGGACCTTGTAAACAAACGATACACTCTCTACTGTGAACACAACATGGAGGAAGGATAATTAAGAGTTGCAGATTCAACACAGAAATTTGTTAACATCATTGTATAAAGAACTATAGTAGGATAATCGCTATGTAAAAGTTATTGGAGGTAATCACGCCCGACATCTATTGGTACAATCATTGAACTAACGATTTTATTTACTGGTTAGATACGCCCTCTACGTCAGATGTTAGAACTTTATAAGTGACAATTCCGTCAAATTAATTGTCAGTACATATTTTTTTTAGTTATTTAGATTAAATATAATTAAAAATATAGTGATTCTTGTAAAGAATCAATAAATAATCGCATTCCACAAGATATTCGTCTATATTTAGAAATAAACTGAGATTTTAATCTAAAAGCAATCTGATTATCAGCCTTAAAAAGTAAAACTTTTTCAAAAGTCTTCATAACGAAAATTTTAGAGTACCTACTTGTCTATGAATCGAAGGGTTTCGAGTTCAAACCCACGAGTAGAGGCTTTTTTTTATTATTTAATTTTATTTTCTAAATTGGTAAAACTTAAATTAATTTCAAAACATGAATTTTACGTTAATGACATCTAAATCTTCATGCTCAAATTTCGTCTTTTTGCTATGGCCACTCGGGATCATCAAATTATAATAGAATATTATAAGGTCCGGTAATTTTATTTAAATCTTTTGACAATGGAACTAAAAATGTGTGTCTAAAGGAGAAATATACCGAAAATAACAAGTATTTAAATTTTGCTAATAAATTTGTATTAGGTACGTATGTGTTAAAAGAAAATACATAATTTTGGATTTGAATATACTGTGTCGCAAAATGTCTGCACCAAGAAAACACGAAATTACATTTTTCTTTAATCTACGTAAAAAAGTGCGAAATAAAATTTTTTTACTGAAAATTTATGGTACCTAACAGGGTTATTCATTATAAATTACCCTCCATTTATGTTATAATTATTATTTTATAATGTTTACATTGACCGAATTTTGGCGTGCATATTTCACAGGATTTAACATGAATATTTTTTAATAAAGATAGCATAGATATATATTTTATTCAATTTTCGGAATGATCTTTATTCTTTCCGGATTAATTAAACGTCGAATATCATAGATAATCTATGTCGAATATCTTATAAATATTTGCACTTTTTCTTTCTCACTGTAAACTACCTATTTGGATTATTTTATTATCAAACATAATAGTTGTGATTTTCATAGCTTTTACTTTAATAATGTTAACTTTTTCATGTTTACATTATCAACGTTAAATTACTCGAGAACAGACGGTATAAGATAGGGTTATCAATAATATACATTTGAGAAATTAGAAAAAAAATATCCCAGAAATTTAATAACAGAGGGTATCCCATTTAAAAAAGTTTATTTGTGTTGTATTCCGTGAAAAAAGGTGTTTTTATGGTATATTTAAAAAAAGTCAAGTCATATTCACAAACTTTTATTTAAAGCTTTTTTTGAATATGCAATAGTGGTTATAAAAGGTGTCTTTAATAATGAATAATCTTGTACATGATCTCAAATAAATTTGTTGAAATTAATTTCAATTGTAAAAATGTCACTTCCGCTTCTCCCGTATTGCTAAAAAAAAAATTGTGGATTTGATGGTGGTAAATATTAATTCTAGATACATTTTTCAAGTAACATTGTTCTCCTGTTTTTAGAAATACCTAAAGGTTAATGTTTAGCCAAATTCATATATTTTTTTGGACACGCAGTATGTTTGTATAATATTAAAAACTTCCCCTACTAAATATTTTGGCTCAATCAAAGTAGATATCTTAAATTGATTATTGTTAGAAAAAGTAGAAATAATATTAAATATAATAAAGAAATTAAAAAAATAATTTAATTTAATAATTTGATAAAAAAATTGAAATTTTGGGATTATATGTATAAAAAATTGTAGATTTTAACTGTTTTTTTTTAAATTCTAACTTGATTTTTTGGGGATGCCATACCCTCCATCTCCCTCTAGGGGATGGTGGTGGTAAGATATTTATACAAAAATGTTGCAAATCATTTCTATTGTAAATATGCCAAAACTAAGATTTTTATGTATCTGTAACTATTTTTAAATGCCAGCCCCCACATCCGAACTATGAAGATTAAAGTCGAAATTTTTTCAAAGTTCAAATTTTCAAAAAAATTGTAATTTTGGGTTTTTATGTATAAAAAATCGTAGACTTCAACTGTTTTATTTAAAAAGTTCTAACTTATTTTTTTGGGAATGACACCCTCACCATATCAGATAGGGGTGGGGAGGGGTGAATTTTTTAAAGCGATTTTTATCTTTATGGGATAATACATCCATATACCAAGTTTAGTTTCAATATTTCGACCCTATCCCCCAAAGCCGAACCCCAACCAATAATCCTTATAGAACCCATTGTGTTTACTTCAATATTAAGAATTCATTTATATTATTTATCAACCATCTTAAGGGTTTTTTTATTACATTGTTACACACCAGATTAAAGAAATAATCTGTTGTTTATAATTACTTATGCTAAGTACTTAGGTAGGTACCTTACCTACCTACCTATTTTTTTCAACACTTGAGATAATGTACTATTATTGCTATTATTAATATTATATAATTTATTTTAAATTAATTCGGATAAAACCTGTAAAGGAAAAGAAAAACAAAAGCATATTTTCTATTTTATTAATTTCAAAACAGTTATAAATACACAATTTTTTTTAGATAAATCATGTAGTTACTCTTGTTTGGAACTCGTCCTTTATTAACAGTAAAATAATTCAGTAATAAAACATAAACACAACTCATTCACAATACCTACTACCCATAAAGGCACTAACGCACAATAACAAACATTAGATAGAAAATAGTCCAAACATTCAATCACGAGTGTATAAAATTTCATCCAAGAGCTAAAAATAGAAATCCATCAATCGGTTTCCGTCATTCTCAAAAATTTCTGCTGGACCCTCAACTCCGCCCACTGCAAACGAATATCGACTTATCCATATTCACTAGCGCCATCTATTGGTAGTATCCATTTCGCTCCAATGATACTTCCATAAGGTGAGACTACTATTTAGTTCTTTATACAATGATTTCATTGTGATGCCAATTGTTCAGTTGAACGTATAGAAAACTTAAACATCTTCTGATAGAAAGTAATGTCAGCTCTTGCTAATAGATGGCGAAACCATGTAATGTCCATGCAGGGGCTGGTAACTCAAATGGAAAAACATGAGGTTGGTAATTTAGTACCACTCCAATTAACGAGATGGCGCTCGTATCGAAATGTCATGTCAGTTGTCAGCTCGTCAAAACTTTAAACTCAAAATTAAAATGGCTATTGGTTATTGTATTTGAAGGTGTATTGAATTTTGATTTATTTTTCAACACCTTCCAATTTTAAGCATGTTTTCAAACGATGGAAAGATGGATTTCAGCAACAAACAATAAAGCACTCCCAGATATTGGTAGTGATGCAATTTATATCACATTAAATATGCAGTCGTCATATTAAGGATATCCAAATAGTGTCTTAAGAAAAATGCACCAGCACTGTTTGGTAAGTAATATTTACAAACTTGTTTTTGATTCAGTGTTAAAATAATTGGTTTGTTATTTGAATTTCTTTTTGTTTTCAGTTTTTAAATGATCATTGTTGTAAAGAAAATGTTGGCCCTCCAAAATACCCTGTCGATCGATGAAATTTTTGAGCCTCAGCTATCAATATCAAAAATTGATTCAATGCCATTGACATCAAACAAGAAAATACCCTAAAATCGTCAAGGGTCCAAACGTGTGTAAGTTTATACTCAAAAGTTAAATTCATTTATCAGGGTGACCACATAATGAATAAAAATTTGATAACTACAAGCGAATCACGAAAACAATTATCGGATGAAGAAATGCTCCTCAACCGACTAGTCGACTCAATAACCGCATGGCAAATTTTATCCACACTCAAATTTGCCTCGATAGTAAAAAAGGATGATCCTTCGCTTCAATTTTTTCAAACTTATTTGCCACTCCAAGTCGCAAAGCTTTTATAAAGATCTTGAGCACTTATATATACTGATTTTGTCACAGAAAACATTTTTGATAGGTTTGTTTTATAACTATTTAATTATTTAAATGGTGTAAATGCATATTTGTTTTAAGTATTTCCATGTTTAAATAGACAAATTATATGATGCGGCTATAATTTACTGTAATAAAAAACAAAATAATAAATTGCATTTTATTTCAAGTTTGAAATTAATGCAAAAATATAATGAAGTAAAATCAAATAAAGATAAATTGGCAAAATATTTGACTGGTTTTAAATCACAAAACAGTCAATATGGTTGTTTTATGATTTGAAACTAGTAAAATATTTTTCCAATTTTTTTGCTTTATTTGATTTTCTTCATTACATTTTTGCGCTACTACAAAGTTAAATTTCAAAAAGCTCGCTCGTGGCGGCCATATTGAATTTTAGTACCACTCCAATTTGATAGATGGCGGCACATCGACTCAGAATTTTACCATTGAGTTTCCCAT